TGTCGTCTAAATTATACAAAAATGAAAATAACTCTGACATTACATTTAACATTCATTACATTTATATATTTACCAAAATTACACAAAATATCTTGAAATACTAAAGAGTAAATTTATTCAATAAAATCGCCATGGGCTTCAACCACGGCCTCCAGGTGACTTCGGAATCTCCTGTAACTCTTCTGGACGGTCTCCTTGTTTAAGATGTCGAATTCTGCCATAATCCTTGCCTTCAGTTCATCTGTGGTGTTACAAGGAGTTTTGTTAATCTCTCGCTCAACTGCGCCCCACACATAATAATCAAGGGGGTTGCAGTCTGGGGAGTTGGGTGGCCAGATGTAAGGGGGTGATGTAGTCGAGGAAATTACCTGACAACCATGACATGGCACGGTGCAGAGTCCTGTTGCCAGAAATAAAGTTTGTCAGCAGTCACCCTCTTGACTCAGGGCAGCACTACCTCGTCAAGGCACTTGATGTAGGCATTTGCGTTGAGTCTGAGGCCCTGTGGGAAATGGAGACATAACGTCTCATCAATAGTCATCACTCTCAACACCATTCTTTCCAAATCCTACCTAAACAACTATGAAATGTTCGTACTGGAGTTTCCGGTCCGAATGCCAAGCAATACAGTATGCCGTTTTCAAATTTCTGGCAGACTTAATTGTGTCATGGGGCTCTTTTTTCTCACAGACGGTCCTTAACTGACCCTATTATAATGTGCAATCGACAAAATCAAACACAAACAATGCGTGAAATTAAAAATATAAATGGCGACAATTTACTCATCGCACCTGTAGAAACATAGATACGAACAGAATGAGATAGATAGATAGATAGATAGATAGATAGATAGATAGATAGATAGATATGGACAGAATGAGATAGATAGATAGATAGATAGATAGATAGATAGATAGATAGATAGATAGATAGATAGATATGAACAGAATGAAACAGATAGTAAACACATATGATAATCATTATCTCTCGCTTTTAAGTATTTGCGTTTAATGCTCTTCACTTCCAGAACGGCTCATTTCACCAAAATCCCTGACTGTCTTTTGCGGGAAACTGGCCTTGGCATGACTTGGCCAGAAGTGAGGAAATGGCCGACAACAATTTCAATACATGCAAGGTGAGATAAAAACAAGGAACCATATACAGGTCATTGAATAGTCAGTGTAAAGCCTTATTCAGATCTGGGACCGGAGAAAATAATACCAAGTGTTGGACGAATGCTTGGAGGATTCGGTATAGAAAACAGGTGTCAAATTTGCGTGGGGTGGAGCTGAACTGAACTGGAATGTTACAGAGTTGTCAAGGTCAGAGAAGATGAAATGAAGCAATATAGTGAGGAAAGGCTATTTAAAGGAGTGGTGTTTTTTAGTTAAGACTTTTTTTTAAATCACTGGGAGTGAGAAAGGGATGAGTAGGAAACAATTGAATTTCAGATGAAATAATAAAAGGTATGCAGCCGATTTTCTCTACGAAGAAAAAGGTCTATTTTATAAAGCGGCGAGAGAAGGGTAGTTAAAAGGGAGAGTGGGGAGTAGTAATGAGAGGGGGGATAATAAAAGGGTTGATTTGACGAAGGCTTTGAAAATGAAGATTTGACTTGAAGAGAGGGAGGTCAATAAAAATCAAAATTGTAAGATGTAAAGCCTCTTAATGATACGTTAACAACAGAAAGGTGAGATAACGAAGTCTCGCGAGAAAGAGTGGAGGAAAACGTGACGCCAAAAGACATTATTAGCAAGAGAATAACAAAAATAATGTATTAAACAGGAACATAGCTAATGAACTAATGCATAAGGAAATATTCAATGATATATAATCCATCAAGTAATAGTTATACAGGCGTTTGAAGCAACAAAGATTAGTGATGGGGAGAACTAGACAAGGTTAGTAACAGAATAGCGCTTTTGTAGAAAGCAAATCAAATGGAAAATAATAACATGAAAATAGGGAATAAGCTCTAATGGATCAGGGCACTAGGGAAAATCGATCTCGAGTAATCATGAAGTGACTCAAAGAAAACACTTAAAGCGAACTTCGGCCATCTTGTATTCATTTTTTTATAACTGAATTTTTGTTCTCTTATTTGCTGTGAACCATTTAAAATTTCGTCGAACAACTTCCTACCCTTTGCAGCTATGATTAATGTTTGTTTTGTTTTTTTTTGTTTTTTTGTTTTTTGTTTTTTTTGGGGTGTGGTGTGGGGGGGTTACCAGTCTCTCTTCCCTCCTTACGTGCCTTAGAAGTTGCAACATCAGAAAGAGAGTTGAATTTTCTGGGGCACATTATGAGGAAAGAAGGCTTGGAAAATCTGATACCCACAGGACAGATTGAATGCAATGAAAACAGAGGAAAACAACGTACTACTGTCTAGGAGAAATAAAAAAAAAAAGACAAAATTTCTTACGGGCTGCAAAATCACAGGAAATTGTGGGGAGCCATGATCGCCAATGTCCTAAAGGCACATAGAAGAAGAAGAAGAAGAAGAAGAAGAAGAAGAAGAAGAAGAAGAAGAAGAAGTATTTTACTACCCCTACACACCACCCGTTCCACCAATAATTCATATAATCCCGTTTTATTTTCCCTGTCTCTTTTACCTCCGATATGTCCAGTGAATGTCAAATTTTCAAAGCCTCGTTTCTGTTGACTCAAGTCTTCTCATCCTTATGAAGACATTACCCAGCATTCATTGCTATATAGGAGAATTGATATTACATAGAAATTCGGCACTCTTTTCTTTGATTCTAACGAAATTTTCCTGTTTCTTAGTATTTTGCTTAGTTTTTCGAAAGCATCTTTTCCTATTCCAATTCGCCCTCAGAGTTCGGTGTCATATTTACGTCCTTTCATAAACACTTCGCAGTTCTTCTGTCACATCGTTGTTTGCCTCTTGGTCTTTTTCATATATTCAGTCTTCATACAATTAATGTTTAGTCCTTTCTTCTTGTTTTCTTTACTACTTTGTATAAGAAATTCTGTAATCGTCTTTCTGTATCTGCCATCAACACACCATCTGCACCGATTGGATTGCTATTTTATAGACATGGACTAGGCTTCGTTTAATACGAAACTGAGTGAAATTAAAACATTAAGATTATGTAGCGCCAATCTTCTAAATAGCGAGATTCTACTTTGAAAAACTGCATTCGAAATTCCAGCTTTTATCTGGACTCGAAAATGAACACTAGCACCGAAAGGAAATACGAAAAAAACCTCTCAATTTCTGAGCAGACTATTATATAGCAATTACGATCAATATCCTTGGAGATAAACAATATATGTACGCTAGCGTCTGTCATATTTGACAATAAATAGAGTAACTATTTTTTTACAGTTATTACTTTTAGGGCACTAGTTATGGGTTTGTGATTTGCTCAAATGCTCACCTGATTAATCTCTTGGAATGCACCCACTGTAAGATTACTACTAAAGAGCCTACTTCTAGGTGAATGTTTGCAGACTCGGGTATAACCCGTGTATAACTTTTTAACTCAAATATAAACTGCACGTATGTCTACTTCAGTAACCGTCTACCTTGTGTGGCACTTGGGACTTGTATAAGTTGAAAACTAGTAAAAATAAAAAAATAAAAATGATTGAAACTATAGGCCAGAGATTACCTCCTGTTCCATCAAACCCAACAGAACCTGTAGTATGCCGCTTGAAGAGATTGGCTGTGTTACTTAACACATTCCAATTGATCCAGGAATGCTATAAACGGGCCCAGTATAATCTAGGTAATTGGATGAGATAGAGGGGGCGGGAAATCCCTTTGGCAAAGAACAAGTAAAATCAATGGCGGCGTTTGAGTAGAGAGAAGAGATAATTTTCTTCATTGAAAAGAATTGTGAAACGTCAAAACGGAAAGATTATCAAAAATTTACAATAAAAAGCAGGAAAAATCAAAAGATGAAACACAAACATAGCAAAAAAAATGGAATATAACTACTTCTCTCCTCAACATACCGTAATTTCCCGAAAATAATACGCGCCCATAAATAATACGCACTCCAACAAACGATCCAAAAATTAAGAAATATATCTATCCCTATGTATAATACGCATCTATAAATTTTGTCAAAAAAAATAATTACGAAGACATTTTGTCGACCTTGACATTAAGAATAAAATCGAAGCTAAGCGGCTAAAATTATGTTGAAAATAACCATTGCGATTTTCCCAATAAATTTAACATTTTATTTTACGGCTAAAATGTCATCAAAACATGCCAGTGCAAATTTTAAACAAAAAGTGATAGAATGAGCTGAATGAATAGGGAACAGAGCTGCAGCTAGAGAATATGAGAATTTAGCAAGAGAATGAAGAGGCCGAAGATAATTTTTATTCAGGACGAAGATAATGATAATATTGTGAATGATAATTTGTTTAATGACAATTTAGATATTGATTCTTCAATAGAAATTGGTTGTAATGATGATGAAAATTAAAATTTCAATAAATTGTTAACTTGATATCCTCTTTTCTTCGAAATTGGCCTTTTTATAGATTTTTTCTTATTTTTCCGCCAAATAAAAAATGCGGTTACTGATAAAAATAAATTTATTGACAAAAAATGTTAAAATTATTATTGTTGGATTTAAAATGAAAATTGGGATAATAACCTTCTTATTTTAGAACAACAAATACGTATTTATTATTATAAATCAATAGCGAAAAAAATATTTTTGTTTAAACCTGTCTATAATACGCACCCCTATTATCACCTCTAATTTACAGTAAAAAAAATGCGTATTATTTTCGAGAAATTACGGTATTTGATAAACTTCCTCTTCCTTGTGCCATGTCCCTTCAGAATGCTAGTGATCATGGCTCTCCACGATTTCCTGTTCTTTGTAGCGCTTAGTAAATTTTATCTTTTTGGTATCTCTCCTAAAACCTATTCTGTCATTCATTTTCCCAAGCTCGTCCGGCAGGGAGGGGGGGGGCTATACACTGTTTTCCTCTCTCATGCATTCAACGGCTTACGACTACATCACGTTAAAACACAAGTTCTCATCCGGTTACCGAATTTAAGCAACATCGAGTCTGATCAGTACTTAGATGGGGGACTGCTTTGGAATACCAAGTGCTGTAAGTTTGGATGTGCGGGTGGTGTAATACTTAATTGCACGGAATTGTTAATCGGCGACCCGAGTTTCAATTCCAGTTGGGTTCGTTATATTCACTTACACGCATAGTTATGAATCTACGTTTTCTCCCCCTAGCTATGGGTTAATTAGTAAAACTTGTATCACTAAACCATTATTATTTAAAAAATCCTTACAATATAAAAATATTTTCTGGGTTTAAATAACCTGCAAAGGGTTGATAATCCGTAGAAAACGAATCAGTCAAACAATGAAATATTGATTAGTTACTCAAGCATGCCTTTTAGATCTGTTTACATTCTCTGGAATATAAATGTGTAGAAATTACCGTGATCACAAAATGGGGGATCAGTTTATATATTGATTATAATTTAGAATTGATCCCCCATTTTATATACACATTATGATTTCTTGTTTATTTATCAGATTCTCTATTAAGTATAAATCCCCCTTTTCTCTCCCCAGCTATGGGTTAATTAGTAAGTTTTGTATTACTAAACCATTATTATCTCCTAAAAAATTCTTACGATCTAAAAATATTTTTTGGCTTTACATAACATGCAAAGGGTTGATGAACCATAAAAAACGAATCAATCACGCATTTATTATAATTTTTCGCTTGCATTATTATTATCAGAGCTGTTTTCACTTGATGAAGGTTCATTGCAAATCAGCGGGGTTTCGCCTCTTCAATATGGCTACTAATTTCTAAACAGGCCTTTCTACTCAGGCCCGTTCGTGTTTTCTTCAACACCCAAAGCAAAACTGGTTCATACTACAACTGATTGTTTCGTTTGCTTTGTTTTGTTTTACGACATATCAATCTCAATGGGTTATTTAATGTCGACAAGATTTTTATTGCTGGTAATTTTTTTTTTTTTCAAAAATGTATTGCTGGGTTAACTATTTGCCCATAGTTTGGGACCCTAACAGGTGCTGCCACACCGGGTTAGGGTGAATCTGTGAACACCAGCAATTAAGAGTGGTTCCACGCTTTTTAAAACTTTTTGATTAGAGGCCTTGCTGTTGGACGTAGTTTATCATCTTACCCACGACGCGGATGTAGTTTATCGTCTAACCCAGGACGTACTACAGCTGAGTAATTGTCTAATATCATTCACAAAATTAGTTCACCTAATTAGAGCCAAGGTAGCATTTAAATGCCAACTTTTGTTTTTACATCATCAGAGCTTTTTCGACTTGAAAGCACACCGCAAATCAGCGTGATTTCTCAGTTTTAGAATGGTTACTCATTTCTGAGCAAGCCAGTCTGCAAAAAGCCAAAATGACCTTATATTATTTTCATTTCCAACAATCAAATTTTTAAACGGCTTTTTAACTCTATTCCATTAATACGTTACTCCAGCCGTTTGTCATGAACTGATGTTTTCCTAAGTCTTTGTTAGGAATTCACTCTCCGCTAGGTGACCCCTTATTGTGACCTTGTACAAGAACAAAACTAAGATTTGTAAAGTTCGACTTCGTTTCAGATTCTCATTTTTCTTTCTTTTCTTGCAGGACTCCAAGGAGTAAAGCCGCCCTTTCTTCACTAGAAGTTACTTTGGTGAGTACATTTTTGCATTAATCAATTTTACTTTTATCAAATTATTTCTCCAACATACATGCGTTTGATACAATGATTCAGTCTATGAGTTAAAGGAATAAATACTTATTAACTAAGCTTAGCCATCCACGAAGATTTTTTTGTTGAGCACCCAGTAAGAATCGAACTCGCTACGCTAGACAAGCTTGTTAACCGTTATACTGAACAGCGATAAGTTGTTGATATTCTTTAAAAGAATTTTTCCGAGAAAAAGAAACAAGTCCAAACTTTAAAATTTTCATCTCTATGTACTATGTCCCTTCAAAACGAGGACGATAATGGTTCTCCACTGCTTCCTTTACTTTGTTGGGGTTTTTTTTCTCCAATAAAAGTCATTTTATCATCATGAATAAAGAAAATCGAACTAGTGGCATTCTATCATCGCCGATTGAACCCAGAATTAGCGATGAACGGATGCCTTGAGCGCGTCTTGGGTCTTAAACTCAACCCAGATGTCAAGTAGAATTCGTAGATACTATCCATCGCTAAAGAAAATGGTCGGTTCTCTGTACTGCACCAGCAACTACCCGATTCCTCCTGCTATCATCTACTGTTACAAGAGACAAATCAGACCGAAAATAAAGTCAGTCAGTTATGCATCATGCGTGATACACTTTCGATACATGACTGACGAGGCAGATTTTTTTTTCCGCGAAAGGTGGCCATTTCTTTCTGCGTTGCCATCCAAGGCTATAGAACTCAGTCTGTCCTGTTATTTACCCATAGCTGGGGGGAAGAAAAAGACGATACATACTTTTCCCAAGGTTATTAGCACGTAAGTGAATGCAATGGATTCGACTGGAATTCGAACTCGGTTCTACCGATTCCTCAATCCGACTCGCTATCTATGACTCCACCGTGCGGAGTACTGCTGCCATATATTAGGCAGGAGCTTGCCAGTTTTAATTTTCTAGTCCCAATAGATTCCAAAGCAATCAGATCTCGTCTCTCCAGACCAAACAATTTTACAACAATAGATGAATTTTAAATTTATCCAGACAAGCGAAAAAAAATCAATTTTCAAATATTCATAAAATAAGGTTTTAATATGAGGGAAGGAAAGATATATATATATATATATATATATATATATATATATATATATATAGAGAGAGAGAGAGAGAGAGAGAGAGAGAGACTTCGGTTACTTCTCAACAACTTCCTTCACTTCCTTTCCTTATCTTACTCTTCCTCAGTCATGTCTTTCTCTCTCTCTCTATCTCTCTCTCTCTCTCTCTCTCTCTCTCTCTATATATATATATATATATATATATATATATATATATATATATATATATATATATATATCCTTTCTCCTTTTCTCTCTCTCTCTCTCTCTCTTTTCCCTCCTCCCTATTAAAACCTTATTTTAAAATCAATATCTTTCCCTCTTCTTATTTTAAAAAAATGTTTTGTTTTTTTTTTGTTTTATTTTCGGGTTTGTTTGAGGATTTTTTGTAGTTTTTTTTTTTTTTTCGCTTGTGTCTGGATAAATTTAAAATTCATCTATTGTTGTAAAATTGTTTGGCCTGAAGAGACGGGATCTGATTGATCCCGTCAAACCAATTATTACCGTGATTTCTAATGTCTCCGCTTTCATCATTATCACACACACACACAGACACACACACACACACAACACGCAGACACACAAACACACACATATACACACACGAGTGTATAGTGTAAATTTTCTGTTATTAGAATCTTGAAAAGCATACACGAATAACATCTCAATTAAATAATTGTTTATATTGTATGTACGCATGTATGTATGTATGTATGTATGTATGTACGTATGTATGTATGTATGTATTTATTTCCTCGAATCATTGATGAAATCAGGTGTGTGGTTCATTTCCTGGCAAGTTGAGGTCCACCTTAAACAAATTCACGTTTTGTGTACTCCCTTCTACTCTGATTTTCTTTCCCCAGCAACCAACTCTTGAAAAGCCAAACGGCGATAGGCAATGGATGACGGGAACAGGTTTTCGTGAAACTGGAAGCTTCTAGTCCAGAACCTGACCGTTGGCGACAAATTTAGTCAGTAATGCTATCGCCATTAGCAAAGAAGAATTTAAATAAGAATTTTTTCACAGCCGAACAGTATAACTCATTTAATGCATACAGATTTTGTCAAAGCAGGGAAATGGACGATAATAGCAAATAAAGGATTAAAAGCTTCAATACTCATCTCTCGACTCCGAGTTTCGCATAATATCTTCACTCTTCAGAAGCAAGCTAAATCAGATTGATTTATCTTTCCCCATTGATTTTTAAATAAAAACGCAATATTCTTAACGGGGTAATCAAGCACGAAGTATGGCGAAACTCAGAGTCGATCTTCGATAAATATTATGAAAGTTTAATATTTTTGATGCAGTACATATATAGAAGAAAATAATAATAAATTAGCGTACCAAAAATATTAAATGTTAAGTATACTTATGAAAGATCGACTAAGAGTTTCGTAATGCTTGACACTTCAGAATTCAAATAAAAATACAATATTCTTAGCTACAACATGAAATGCGAAGTATGGCGAAATTTTGAGTTAAATATACTGAATGTTTTTGATACGATAATTATTGCTGGAGATATTTGTTGAGGACTTTATTGACAAAATTTTGTCCGCTTTGACATGCATTAAATTACATCATTTTACGTATATCAAGTTAATAATAGATAGATAGATAGATAGATAGATAGATAGATAGATAGATAGATATGGACTGTCAGGTAGACAGATATGAAATAAATGATAGATAGATAGATAGATAGATAGATAGATAGATAGATAGATAGATAGATAGATAGATAGATATGGACTGTCAGGTAGACAGATATGAAATAAATGATAGATAGATAGATAGATAGATAGATTATGAAACAGTATATATATTTATTTCCGTCTTCGGAGAGCGAAAGTTTTTCTTTAATAAGATTTTCTCGAATATTCGCGTCTACCCAAATGTGAGTATCCATCAAAAATAAAGTTTAAAGTGATAAAAATCTGATATTGATGAATAAAATCTATTACCTTAGAAAAAAAAATATATATACATATTCATACATGTTTCTTTAAATAATATAGCTTTCGGCTTACATAAGCCATTATCAAAGATGTCAATTACTGTACAATATATTAAGCAATACACGGACAAGAATGTGATGATAGTCTGTTTCTGTTTAAATGGATGATTTCCAAGCAACAATAAAAACGTGCATATAAGACGCTGCTCATGACGTCACACATGACCACGCGAGAGTGAATTCGAGATTAAGTATGGGAAGCCGTTGGTATAAACCAATGGCTTCTGTTACCAATTATAGGCATTTAAGGATATTTGTGGAGATTTCATAGTTCATTTTGTTTAGGTTAGG